AAAAAAACTGTCCAAGTCATTATATTATGTTGTAATCAGAGAAATGTTCAAACAAAGAAAAGAACTAGACAAGATAAAGAGTATAAGCAATACCATTATTTGTTGTCACCTATTTTAATTGATTTCTAGCTTTATATACATATAATACGTTCGTTATTTGCTACATGGATATTTGTTACATGTATATTTGTTGTATTGTATTTATGTAATTTTTGTAATTGTATGCTGCTCCTCGTGGGCGTTTTTATGCAATAAAATTTACTTACTTACTATTGATGTTTATATGCGTTCATAATTAAATGTTTTAATTAAATCGTAACGTATGAATTGTGTGCTTTATTTTTCATCGAATTGGCAATTTTTATTAGCCAAGACATTCGCTGCTACACGCATATTTGCTTCAGTAATGATAGTTTGTGGAATTTTATGGGGTTTTAAAAGAAACATAATCAATGGGTGGAATTTAAGACTGGGCAGGGTGAAGACAGGGAAACGTTATCATGTTGTTATTCAAATTATTCAAAGACATAAGGCCAAGAAATACGCGATGACATTGAAAAGAAGAAAATGCTTGTGCTACTATGCCGACATTATCACGGCGTACGTGGACTAATGCTAAATCATAGGACTATGATATTTTTCTATTGCATATTTCCAAAAAAAAAAAAAAAAAAAAAAATCTTTGTGGAAAATTTAAAGTCTTTTCTAATAATATTAACAGATTATTTTTTGTTTGGTTGTTCTTCTTTTTGGATTTGTTAAATTATTTAAAGGAATTACTACGGCTTATTATGAAAATCGTTTCAAATAAAGCGACAGAAATAAAAAAAAAAAGACACCAAAGTGATTTCCAAAGGCGATTGCATGCTTTTAGAATAGAACAAGCTAGGCGACACATGGAGTCGTGCCTAGTCCGTGCAACGGATGCGGGACCGAGAGTTAGATTTCTTTACGTTTGACTAATTGTTCAAGAAGGGTCATCTAAGCTGTTGAAAGAAGGGAACCAAACATACCCTAATGCGAATATATCGGGAAGACGTCATGTAAATCTGCGAAAAGCTGTTTTCTTTGAAAATATGATTACAATATAACGGCTGCTTCGGAAACAGATTGGTTAATCTGATAACAATGGCGATTAGAATATATTGGATAATCAAATTGGGGTTGGTTATGATATCGGTTAATAACGGTACAGCGTGTGATCAATTTTAAGATACGAGCATTTATATAGTGGTACGCACGACAATTTGTAAACAAATTAAACCCACAAAAAAGATCAAATATATAACTAACTGCAGTCCGACTATGGTACGAAGTACAAAACACATAGTATTCATCAAGAAATGAAATACGTATAAGAAAGGATATACGTACCTATCCCACGTATAAATCCATGTATAAAGACCTACACTTAACAAAGACCGATCTGCGTAAAACACGGTCGAACAAAAAATCGCACGGCAAATTAGATTTAACACCTACGCGTCAGATAAAGCTTGCTGGTCCTTGATAAATCACCTTTGCTGCAGTTATAACATGCTTTCGAGAAAACTCACCAAACAAAGAATACACACAGTGTCAGTCGTTTTTAACCCGTTCGTTAATTAACACACCGGTACAGAAAACACACCGTCGCCGGAGTTTCACCCCTAGCGATAATTATATCACCTTTCAGTCAATTTCTCACCCCTGTTAATTAACACACCGTACCTACAGATTTTAGCCTCTTCGTATTAGATTTGTTGCGATAATTAGAATTTTACCGATATTTGTAGAAATTTACTAAAACGCGAGAAAACTATACTGTAAACGTACAAATCTCACCTTTACTACTTCTCAGTGTGACCCAATCAACATTCTTAATCTGTTGAGAATGTTGATTGGGTCTCTTAATCTAATTAAGTGGTGAGATTAATAGAATTTATTCCCATAAAAGATTTAATATACAAGACCTACATTACTAATGTATGGACTATTCTCTTTCGTTCTAAATTATAACACCGAGAGAAATATTAACAAAAATTAACAAATATATGGCATGGTTGCTATGTGATTTAGTGTTAGAACATAACGATACCTCAAATGGATGTAGCTTGGTCAATTTTACAGTTTAATATCAGTTATCTTTTTGAATAAAGCAACCGAACTGCAGTCGTCTTGACACCAAAAGTTTTCCAATATGAACTCTGAATAAGCTCGTGCACGCTTGTAATGTATGAAAGGAATTGCTCCTTTGACCGAGATTGCCGACTCTGTGCTCTACACGGACTATTCGTGAAACGGTAGGACGCGAAGTCTGAAATAGTTGGGTTGACGTTTGAATTATATGGGTCGTTTGGTTTTTTTTTTTATCGGGAATCGGGTTTGTACATTTGACAGAATTTATTAGCTGAACGGTATAGAGGTGTAACTTGGTCATTTCTACATAAACTGTATCATTATATTCTAAAAAAGACATCCAGACTTGTAAGTGAGTTGTTCGGATCTTACGAGTCATTCTCACAAAGTTAACGGTAAGGTATATGTGACCCCCTCACCCATAGCATACTGAGTCGCAATGAGGAAATTTTGAAAATTGAGTTATTGTTATTTTCACATTCTCCAACTCATTACCTTCAATTTGATATATAGTTTGTTTGAATTGGGCAATTCAAACAACAACTCAAAAAAGTAAGTTTTGAGAAAAAGCAAGTCAAAGATTTGGTATGTTCCAAAACAAAATCCCATAGCAACCAGACCATTTATTTGCTGTTTTATCGTTGAATAAATCTTTCCATGGGTTTTCAGGGGTGCTGGAGACGAAAATCCTAGTAAAAGTTTGATCCGACGATTTCCGCAATTTATTTGCTATTTTGTCCTTTAATGTTTTATATTTAGGATTTCAAGGGTGCTGACGACGAAAATCGTAGTAAATGCACTCCTTTCGTAACAAAACATCCACAACACATACGGCATAATATTCATATGATAGTGTTATATTGAAGAACAATCCATACATTAGTAGTCTGTTGTGCATATGTATATTATAAGTTAATCTCATCAATTAATTAGCACCTTAGTGCCAGCCAGTAGTCGGGAGATTAAGATTGTTGATTGGATAATCATCAAAAAAGCTGCCACAGCTGTATGCGTGTTCATTTAACACATGAATTAAAATAAGATTTTGCGTGTACGGTAGGTCTATTATTATTTTCAGGTACCGTGACGTTATCAAACTATGAGTCAAGAAATGCTTACGTTCACTTTCGTGCATTTTGGCTTTGATGTAAATATCAACATTACTCAGAGGATACGCAATGGCAGACTCGAGTATCGTCGCATTTCGGTTCGTTGGTCGTTCGCATTTTTTCGACCCATGGTGATAAGAGAATTTTAAACAATAATATCCATACTTTGCATGAAGAAGCGACAGTAAACCGACTTCAGCTATCAATAAAATTCTCTTCGAAAAGAAAATTTTTGGCCATTTTGTTTACTTCCATTTAAGGCCTATAAATTATTTTTTTAAAGATGATATGAGATATCAAATAATCACCACTTGGATTAATTATTCGGAGTACATAATGAGTTGTCATTGACCCGTGACAGTTGATTAGTATTACTCAATGACACACTCAATAGACTATTCCGTGCTCACAATTTCGGTTTACTTGTATGTATGAAATTCATTTTTTTTCTGTAACGTACGATCATATTGTATTTTAACATTGTATATCGTGCCTTATATGTTATTACTATTTTCATCGTTATATATATCGTTTAATAGTTATTATTTCTCAATGTAAATAGATATTCACACGATTCTTCGGTGCTCAGAATTTATGCTTGTATGTATGTATGTGTATGAAATTCATTATGTATGTGTATGAAATTCAATATTTTCTGCGATCATATTATCTGTTTCAAAAAAATTAGGGAAAACACATTGATGTTGATGATCTTTTTTTAACCATTAGTTGTCATTCCAAATTTAATAATCCATACAGATATCAAAGTGCCGCCTGCTCCAAAACATGTGCCAATCCGCATGTAACGAGGATAAATATCAATTGTAAATTAAATAACAATACACATTGCGCTGTATTCTGCATGGGGAACCCGTTGTAAGAACGGGAACGGTACAAATAGTGCGACGAATCAAACCTTGCCACTGAGCATTTAAATTCATATTTAAATATGAAGGTATTTATATTAGATCGATCTATCTAACCATCTTCGGCGTCTTTTGCAAACTACGACGGTAATCGAAATCGTCGACAATAGTCCCTTTGTTCACTGCTATCCATTATTGTTTAAAAAAATTGCTCCTATTCGAGAATATTAACAAATAATAATAAATTTATTCAGGATACTTATAATCACTTGTAGTACCAATACTCACCAGAAATTTATATAGTTAACGATTTCACGCTCTACTGGCGACGGTTCCACTTACTGACGCACATCAAAGATAACTGGCGGTTTCACTCAGATAGAATAAATACTGACGGTTTCTTAATTAGTCACGCTTTTTCCAATTTCTCCCGCACGCGTCTGACTAGTGATATGTTCGGATAAACTCAGGTATGTTTTTTTTTATTATTTACGTTATTTTTGTATACTGACACAAGTAAGGAATACTAACCAATCGACTTAAATACTCACCTTATGATTATTACTGACCATTTATAGGAATACTGACGTAAGGTGCATGTACTGACGGGTTTAAGCGACTACTGACAACACGTATATTTCTCAAGAGTTTCCATGAATTGTAACCACAATTAATCATTTCTACTCTTTTGAAGGATATTCTAACGCAGAGGCCCGTTACTCAATACTCAGAGCTCAGTTCTACACACTATGCATGTTACCGTGATAGGAACATTCAATAATACCAATTAACCTAAAAATTAACTAATTGATTAATGGATAAGTTGTTGTGGAGTATATACAATGATTAGTAGGTTTTAATAATGACAAACGTGACATTGGTCACTGTGGAATCCGTACATATTTACCTTTTTTTAACTGGAGTTACTGGACAAGGTCCTTGAAGGCTTTTATTACTCTGTGTATATTTCTGTATATCAACATCATATCTACATAGATATGAACCAGTCTGCTCAGAAAATTGATATACTTCATCTAAATTACGCAATTCTCTATCAGGACATGTGTTAACACATATAGACATAGAGACACCAGGGTTATCAATATTCATAAAGAACACAAATCTGAAATAAAAAAAAACAGCGGCTGCCAGGCAGGATACGCTCACAATTTGCAAGAGATGGATAGAGAACAAGTTAAAAACAAACTGGATTTTTTGTACAATCAGGGGCAACAAGCCAACAGTGAGGCTGATGTCCCCCGCCGAAATCGATGAAATAAATAAATAGATGACACATTAATTAATCGCACATCTATTTTTTTCAAAAGTATTGAGCAATCAAACTGATTATCAACTGTACACTAAGTTTCTCTCTATCAGATAGAATCAAAGTTATCTAGTCCCAAAGCATCGAACAAGGAAATTGCTTATCTCTGCTTAGCTTTAGCTCGATATGTTAATCATTGAACTCAGTCAAGACGAACATCTACATCAAGTTTAAACATTCTACCTCAATTAGAAGCAGAGCTGTTATGTTCCAAAGTCTTGACCAATCAAAATGCTTATTGCTCCTTAGCCTAAGCAGACAATTCTCATCATCGAACTTAGTCAAGATATTGATGTAATGAAACTATACACCAAGACAGACAGACGGATGAACCCATTTTAATAGTCCCCGCCTTTCGAAGAAAGAAGGGCGAACATTTTGTCGAGCAGTATCATTTCGATTTTCCCGAAATTCAAATTCAACATTCTTTATGGTGGAATGGTGATATATTTAAATGTTTTTAAAAATCCGCACTTAATCAAAATTACGGTGTAACGGTGATATATTCGAACGTGTTTTTAAATCGAATAATAATTGTGACCTCTAGAGGGATCACAAGCTAAAAACGCAATTTTTCGTACAATCAGGCGCCATAATTCAGGAAGTTATGATCCGATACGCAGTTTTAGTCAGATTTTCACAAAAATCGAACTCAACCTAAATTATGGTGTAACGGTGATATATTTGAAGGTTTTTATAAATGGATAATAATTGTGATCTCTAGAGGAACCTGAAGCTAAAAACGCAATTTTTCATACAATCAGGGGCCATAATTCAGGAAATTACGATCTGATATGCGCGAATATCGAAAGGAACCAAGATCTTGGTGATATATTCAAACGTTTTTTTAAATCGGATAAAAATTATAGATCTATAGGGTCCACAAGCTAAAAACTTGATTTTTCGTACAATCACGGACCACAATTCAGGGAGTTATGGTCCGATATGCGCGAATATCGAAAGGAACCGAGATCTTTGGGTTATCAACTTACATGTCAAGTTTCATCAAAATCAGATGAAAATTGTGACCTCTAATAGTAAGTGCAGGGGGACTGCACCACACAAAATTTACACAAAAACAAATACACGGACAGGACATCATACTCAGGAAAACACAAACAGACAATTAAAAAAAAGTGAATGGATCTGGGGGCTAGCTGTAAGCGTCCACTGCGCTGTACAGTCCCAGGTCTGTAGTGACACAGACTTCACTCAAATTTGAAAACAATTAGGAATACAATTTAACCCAAAGAACCCATTGTGTAATGCCAGCATGAGTCATGATCTGCTATATGCTACATGAAATACGAATGTAGGCATATGTAGAAAAGTTCGACTATACAAGTAACCGCATCGTTGAAATGTATAAAAAAGTAGTCTAAACTCTTAAATTCAATCAAGAAATGCTTCAGTATTCAATACATATAGGGTACATGTTCCATCGTCACCAAAAAACAAAACTGAATACAAAGAAGCAAATGTTCAAGCTAAATTATGTTTATGGTATAAGGTCTGACTCTTATACCCTGGGTAGGCTTCTCCGGACATAATTTACTGAAGTAGCCCGGATAGATGCGCCATAAACTAGTTTGGGCCTTAATTAGGGCTACCATCTTTGTTTTCAAAATGATTGCTCTTTGATTGACGCATAATTTTTAAAGGCCATTTGTAATGGGTATCTTGAGCTTTTGTACCTCGGTGTTGCATCTGTGGCTATTATTTTTGGGTGTGTTGAAACACTGACAATTATCTACTAAACCAACTCCATGACCTTTCCTTGACATCTGGGACATGCATCTACAAGGGCCTTTGTGTTTTGAGATATAACTGAATAAATATGGGACGTAAAGCCAAGTTCAAGATCATTTATGGAAGGTTATTTATAGGTCAAGGCAGAGAATGGAAAATTGACCTTAGAAGTTTTATTTCATAGGCAGTTTCACCTATTTGACCTTGGCCTAGGACCTTGAGACAGTTCAGATGGTTTGAAAGGAATTTAATGTTCTTTTGAACCACAACCTTGAACTTGGCCAAACATCCAATCTTTTAAGGTCTCAAATAAATGATCTATTTTTGGGGTTTTTTTTAAAAAAAAGCAAATATTATTAAATTTTCTCTCTAAATTATTTTACGTTTTTTAATTCTTTTACCAAACTTTGTTAAAGAAAAAAATTGTTCAAGGTCATCGAGTTCATCATTAAATTATATCCACAAACGGGCTCTCTGTGGGTATAGAGATTAAGATCACCGGAATGTAAAAATTAATGTTATAGGCCAAGTAATGTGACGGTTGGGTCATATGCACGGTATTGGAAAAAAAACGAAGTCTACCGAATGTCGTTTCCCGTTCAAAAATAGTCTCGGTCACCCAGAACCCCATAGTCTTCAACGTACGGGATTTGTCTGGATGATAGAGACTAGTTAAAAAATAAATGGCGCTGTTTTTGTCACAGTGCGTTACTTACTGTCGAATTGGAAAAAAATTGACCAATATCTAAGGCGAAGACCGGCCGAAAAGAAATTTATTAGACGTTGAGTACAATTTATTTATTGATAAACCTTTGCCAATGTTGTTATTTTTAAGTGGGCTTTTGAGTAACACTTCGTGACTAACAGAAGTCAGTAATCCTAGCCGAAAACAGATAATTATATGATGATTAAGTATTATAGAGTATTAGGCCTACGTACTAGTCTAGTAATAGTTTGAAATCTTTATACATGTATTATAAACCTGTGGCTATTGTTACGAGTCGTAAAAATAACCCTCTGGCTATTATTACGACGATGTTTTCAGAGCCCCCAATCGGCAAATAAGGTTTTAACCCTAACCCTGTAGTCTGTCAGGCCCGTGCGTATCCAGGATTTTTTCGAGAGGGGGGGTGGGGCCAGTGGCGGCGCCAGCCGTCGGTGATTGGAGGTGCAAAGCTGGGGCAAAGTCCAAGGTTAAGAGGGCAAAAGACACGAGCTTCAACTAGGGGTAGGGGGCCTTCCCCAGAAAATTTGGAAAAACAGGTTGCCGGAAATGCAGCCTGGCAGTATTTCAGGCACTGATCGATGAGGTAAAGTGTCAAACGAACGGACTTGCAAATCACGACGAAGCCCATTCAAGAGCGTCAAAGTAAGGAGTCCTCTCCCAGAAAACTTAGAAAAATAAACTGCCGGAAATGCTGTCTTACAGTATTCTGTCAGGCACCGATCGTCGAGATAAATAGATCTGACCAGATACCGTCCGTCGGCTGATCACTAGTTTATCCGACTAGAGAACAGAATTTCAAACGAACCGACTTCCGAACCTCAACGAATTCCCCTTGTGAGCGGCAAAGTAGCGAGTCCATTGGGGACCTCGCCAAGAAAATTTTGAAAAATAGACTGTCGGAAATGCTATACAACATTTTGCCCTGATAGCGGTGCTATGACCTATTCTTATTTCGAATTCCAACTGCTAAAGGATTTTTTTTTACGTGCATGCCAACAAGTTAGCCAGGTTACACCGATAGTATGTAATGCGCATGCTCTCTCAATAAGAATATGGGATTAACGTCAGAAGCCCATCTTTTCCTGGTAAGATCACATCAGTGTTGATTCAAATTGACAAATAATTCGTGTTTTCAATGTCGAAGACTTTGAATGATATTGAGTTAGATAATTAGCTACTTTAAATTAGTATGTATTTATGCGATTAAATTAGTACATATTTATGCGATTGAATAAGTACCTATATATGCAATTAAATTAGTATGTATATAGCGTCTTACCCACTTAGCCACACGATCCCCGGCATACATTGGAGCAAAGTGTAATCATCAGAGTGCCTGTGTAGTGAAGTTGAAATCCATTGACTCAGAGGAGTAATAGAAATCGATGGTTGTAACAATAGCCACAGGACTATTTTTACGACTGTATAGATCTACAGCTTTTAACTTCGCCCATGGAGGGCTCAGAAAGCCTCGTCATAAAAATAGCCTGAGGTGAGGACTAGTTTTACGACTCGTTTCACCACTATTAAGGGTGTTGAGAAGTCTAAAATGCACATTTTAAAGCTAGCACTGTAATTTTTGTTGATAAGAAGATATGACATTTTTTGTTATTTGGGGTGATCCGGTTTCCTCCCGGGGGTTGGATGGCTGAATGATTAGCATGCGCACGCTGTATCATAAAGTCTGTCATTGAGTCGACCAGCGTGGTTTCGATTATCCGGTTGTACGTGCATGACAAGGAGTAGGATCGCCTGTCCAACCTCGTGGGTTTTCTCCGGGTGCTCCGGTTTCCTCCCACTGCTAAAGACCCCTATGCGCAAGCGAATTATTGAAATAAATTTAAAACCATATCTTAGTCCTGAAATGACCTAGTTTGTGTCGAGTAGACGTTAAACCCCATTTCTCTCTCTCTGTTCTTTATACCAAATTGTCATTTTTAATTTAAAATAATGGGTCCACATTTATTTAATGGTTTTTGTGTCTAATGGCGCTAAGTGGGAAAGACAATGGCTCACTGCCTGGAGGTCAGGTGTTCGAGCCCTGCATTGGCTGAGAAAGTGCATCCAGATTTTTCATGTGGTTCCCCCTTGTCAGTGATGCAGGATGGAGGGCCTGACATGGACAGCTGTCTAGTCGTTCAGATGGTACGAAAAACCGAGGGCCTGTGTACACATTGGCGTGCACGTAAAAGATCCCTTGACAGTTAGAATTTGATATAAGAGTAGGCCGCTGCTTGGGCAAAATTTCCCTCATAGCACACTGTATGGCATATTCCCGTCTTCATTAACCCAGTTTGGAGTAGAACAGTAAGACGTTAAA